CAGAGAGAAAGTAGGCGGAGTATTGTCCAACGTGAAAAATAGTAGGTGGAGACTATCAATAAAAGAAGGTAAATGGGCGGGATCAGTGAAAAAAGTGGGCGGAGCATTGTTTAACGTGAAAAAAATAGTAGGCGGAGACTATCGATAAAAGAAGTTACATGGGCGGGATCAGTGAAAAAGTGGGCGGAGCATTGTTCAACGTGAAAATTAGTAGGCGAAGACTATCGATAAAAGAATGTAAATGGGCGGGATCAGTGAGAAAGTGGGCGGAGCATTGTTCAACGTGAAAAAAAATAGTAGGCAGAGACTATTGATAAAAGAAGGTAAATGGGCGGGGTCAGAGAGAAAGTAGGCGGAGCATTGTCCAACGTGAAAAATAGTAGGCGGAGACTATCGATAAAAGATTGTAAATGGGCGGGATCAGTGAGAAAGTGGGCGGAGCATTATTCAACGTGAAAAAAATAGTAGGCGGAGACTATCGATAAAAGAAAGTAAATGGGCGGGGTCAGAGAGAAAGTAGGCGGAGCATTGTCCAACGTGAAAAATAGTAGGCGGGAACTGGGCGGAGTATGCGAAAAAAATCGAGTGGGTGGGAGTTGAACAAATAAGAAGGAATAGAGTGTCCGAGTCAGAGTAATAGTGGGGGATGTAATAGGCGGAGCATTCTTCGAAGTGAAAAAAAGTAGGTGGGACTAGTAAATAGAAGGCGTTACGTAGGCGGGGTTTAGTAAAAGGGTTGGTGTATAATTAATTTCAACACAAAAAGGGCGGTTTATATAATTAAATTTTTTGCATAGAATGGGTAGGTTTTTTATCTTGAAATGAATATTATTTTTTTCAGTATTTAAATAATGGGAGGAGCTAACATATTTAGGGGAAAAGGGGCGGAGCAAATAAAGCATAAAAAATATTTTTTTAAAAAAGTATTCCTTAATATTTATCGATTTGAAAATTTATAACATTTAAATTTCTAAAATTCATTTCAATTTTAACGGAACTTAAATTTTTGACTATTTTTTTGTTTTTTAAATGTGGCACAGAATTGATTATGTAATGATCATTAGAAAATACTTTCATTTTTGGTGAACCCACTGACTCGTGAGAATTTTATTTCAAGTTATGATAGTCATGTCTAATAAACATTGTCTGTCGCCTCTCGTTTAGAATGTTACACTCGTTTCGCATTGTTCGGAGAGACGGTACTTGGTTCATTCAGTAATTCACAGGCAGCTGCATACTAATAATAGTATCGGACGCCGTTATCCCTCCCCACCACTGTTCATATATATATAGTTGTTTCTTCTTTAAACCCCCCCCCCCCTCTTCCCCACCTTACCTCTATTTCATTTGGAATCCTACTATTCCTGTGGGAGTAACAAGGAGAATGAAAATTACTAAATCGATTTGTACTTTTCGATTTGTGTATACATTAATTGAATGCGGTGTAAATTAAGAGCTTTAACAACGCACGACTAAGAGAAGAATGTGAGACTGAAATTCTTGCTGTAATTGTCGATTTCAATATATATATAAAGTGTTGGAATGAAACTAATTTACGGATTGGTATATATATATATATATATATATATATATATATATACGAATGAGGCAAATGGATCGAATAAATTTGTTAGAAATCAGGAAGTTTATTACTATCAATTTCTTTTGAAATATTGTAAAATCATTAAATTGAAATCTTTAATTACATTTTTTTTTCTTTTATTAAGTTATTTGAAATCATTGCTAATGATTAAGTTTAACTAAAAATACAGATTTCATGAGGAAATTAATTTTTAGATAATTTAAGAATTATAAATATATATATTAGAAATTGTATATACCGAAACTGTGTTATCTATATATTTTCTATATAGAAATAGGACACGTAAATTAGTAATCTTGTCGATGGTGATATGACTTTGTTTCCTCACTATCGCTCTTCTTCTCGCTACATGAATTTTATCATTATAGAAACAAGATGATATTCGAAATTATTTAACAAAATTATCAGTTATTTCAAAAGTTAAAAGTCACCTTTGATTATTTGGCTAATAAAAAATTACGCATCAACAAAACAAAACAAAAAAAAGAGAAATCTTTTTATTGTCACGAATAATTTCCTTTTTTTGTTATAAATTATAACTATCTTGATTTTATTTTTTAGGCTAAAATTCATAGATATAAGTGTTTTGAGGTTTTATATGACATATGCCACGTCTATTTAGTTGCTAGGGTCATTATTCTTCATTTGAGAGAGCTAATTTCTAATAAGACGCATCGTTATTATACCTCTCCCTTATATGTTGTACTAGAATTAATTCATTTTCAAATGTATAATGTAATTTTTGTTATACTCTATTGTTATATTCCATAAAAAATTTTTATCATATATGGCAAAATTGATTGACACACATATTGCAATTTTATTGTAAATTTTTCCACTCTGATTTCTATATACCATAATCTCGAAGTTTGTGTCTATCCATATACTCTAATTAACTTTATATTATTAGAATTGTAATTTTTAATTCCGTGACCAACAATTGATACTGTTATCTATACCCTACTAATAAACAAACGGACAATGAAATTATAATGACAAAAGACGATAACCGATCATCTTCTTCATTATCAGTGCATTTATTTATTTCGAGCCAATTTATTAGATTCCTAAGAGATGCGAAAATTTTTAAATGTACAATATAGGATGAAATTTTTTTTTTTTTTATTAATTTATTAATTTCTTCTTAAATTTTTGTGTTTTTTCATTTATTGCAAAATTTCATTTAATCGCGCAAAACTCTTTTTAATTTCAAATAAAATTTATCCTTCTCATTGCATATATATATATATATAAATGATGCTCTGTGTATTGTCATAAAATTCATTTCGATCAAATTACTTTTAATCCGCGAAATGGAAATGGTTTTAGTGCCAATAACTGAAATTGAAATCTCCATATATACATATACTTGCTTATTACATTTCCATATATGTAAAATAATTTTAATTACAAGTCTTAAAATAATATTTCTAATTCACCCTTTTATATATACTATACTATTATAAAGAAAATAAAATCTAAAAAAAGAACAAATTTACAAAGAAGCCATTTAATTTTAGCAGTTATATTGCTTCGGGTTCGAAAACTTTTTTTGATATAGAATCTCATTTATATAAGTGTTATGTGTTTTTATGTTATATGAAATTTGTCTTTATATATATATTTATAATATTTATATCATTTTGAAGCCCTGTATTAACTGATCTATTTTTATTTATTCTATATATTTTATAATTTTAATTTTTACTCTATTATTAATGAATTAAAGTTTCTTTGATCATTTAAAAAGAGTCGGATTAGAGTGTATAACGATAGATTGAAGAAAAAATTTTTAAACCGCGACTTTGAAAGGCTGTCAGTTTATATGTTAGTTTCCAAAACTAATCTCTCTCTATACCGAGAAGGTTCACCGGAAACTTTGATATCGCCTTCTCTCTTGATTAAGAGATATCTCCGTTCAGAGAGAGAGAGAGAGAGAGAGAGAGAGAGAGAGAGAAAGAGAGAAATGGTTCCAACCATGCAGCAAGATATAGTCAACATTTGTCACTTGTATTAACTAAGAGAGATTTTACATTAACTTAAGAATAATGTCTAAACTTCCACAATCATTTCAATAACTAAAAGGAATTATATATATATACGGAGAAAAATGGAAAAATAAAAATAAAATCGCAAAGTAAATCCTAAAATTTTTGAAAATAACTGCGCATTTCCGGCAAATGCTTAGTAAAAAAAAAGTAAGAATATTTCCGTAGTAAACTTTACTATTTCAGTATAGTAATTTTTTTGGGTTGCTGCCCATATTTGCCCGATTTCATCCGCCCGACTCATTTTACCCGATGAGGCATATGCCCGATTGGACATTAATCCGATTCCTTTTGCCCGACAGAAAGCTTATTATTTTAATCCAATTTTGCTTATTTTAATACCAAAATGAATTAAAATAAGCAAAATTGGATTAAAATAATAAGCGTTGTAGCTTATTTTAATGCCTTTTAATTTTCTGTGAATACCTAAAATTGGTATACTATTTTAGTACCTTCTTTTTACAGTGCTACTATAATTCTATTAATTCGATATAATTTGTTAATTTGCTATATATATATATACTTACAATATAGATATAGAATTTAAAAAAGCGGATGTATATATTCTTTAAAAGCAAATTCGTTGGAATTTAGAATTAATCATCGTAAATTAATTTAGTTGATGCAAAAATGATTAAATCACACTAAAGCAATATTGATTTAATATTCTAATATTGCAAAAATATTAAGGCAATGTTAAATTGCTAGTTTAGATGCTAAGGGATGAAATTTTCAATTCTTTGTCGGTTATTATAATTTTATTTTACTGAATATTGTTTTCTCCTTAGAAAATGATTTTGAAATTAGTTTATTCCATCTTATCAAAAATTATTATCTTTGTTTATTTTTCTCGAAATTTCTATTTTATAGATCTAATTTAAAGGATATACTATTTATCCAATTCACGATGGTATCGCATTTCGACAATTAATTTCCCCCCCCCTAAAATCGGAGAAAGTTTGCCCAGCATCCCTCTAAAAGATAAGAAGAAGAAAAAAAAAGTAGTTTTCGACTCCATCGATACGTTCCTGGCTACGCGCAGGTAGGGGACCCGATGACGATATACGTGGCAACTGACCAAAGGGGTGGGGATATGAACTCGTGTGATAAGAGGAGGAAAGAGGAGGGGGGGGTACATACAATAGAAAGAGGGAGATGCTGGGGTTTACATGTGTAGCATCCCATTGCCAACTGTATAGTTTAGTTTCATCCTAAGAGGGGAACGGATGAGGGGAAGGGATTTCCCCGGGGTGGGAGGATGAATCTCTCTTGCTCGCTGTAGAGGGAGCGATACTCCCTCTCTCTCTCTCTCTCTCTCTCTCTCTGTTTGGGATTCTGCGGGGGAGGTAAAGAGAAAGAAGCATGGGGGCGGTGGCTGCTGCTTCTCTCGCCGCCATCGCCATCCATTTCATCCTATAGTAAACCCAGCAGTCCCAATCCGTCTCTCTCTCTTTCTGTATGTGTATTAGTTTTAGAAAACGTACCGGTGCTTAGAGTAACACCGACATTACTTGCCTTGCCATGCCCTAACACCGGTGTTCAACATCCCTTTTATTCGTTCCTTAATTCTCTCTTTCTTTTATTTTTACATACAAATTCTAATATTCCTCCTCATTTCATTCCATGACAAATCATCCAAGTGCAGGAGGATTTTAACTGGTGCAAAGGTTTTTTGTTTCATTTAAAAAAAAAAAAAAAAAAAAAAAATGGGATTCAATTTTTAGAACGCGATATTTGTGAAATTAGTGCCGATTGTCATCTGACGAGAGAAGGATATGTCTCACACGATAATTGGATCTCCTCATCTCATTCAAGGTGAAATAAAGAAAGATCTTGAGATGAACGCCCGCCGTCGGTAATAGTGAATCATTTCCTTTTAAATATATATATTATCACGATACTCCATTTCTTTTTAATAAATAAATATTTTTTCTAAAAAAAAAATAGTGTGAAATAAAGTTTTCAATGTTTGTCGGCAAAAATTGTGCTTAATGTTCGGGTTTTTAGTGCCGGTGTTGTGCCCGTTGTCGCTGATAAATTATCCGTTCTGTCGCGTCACAAGAAAAAGCGCCAGGAGGCGCTATCGAGATCGCGAAGCGGCGACGCATTACCACCACGCGCTTCTTATCTCAGATTGAAAAAAAAAAAAAAAAACAAGGATATTTCGATATGAATATCATCTGAACGTTTAAGGGATCATTTACAGGAACAACTACGACAACGTCGTCTTTTACAACAAGAGAGGCGCGAGGCTATAGGCTTGGAATTCGCGCACGTGAATATGAGCATGACTCTTGTACGAAACGTGTTCAGAGGTATGTGTGTGTGTGTGTGTCTGTAGATATTATATTTTTCCTTACAGTTCACCGACCGGACACTGAAGTTGCCTAGACCGATTACTTATATTGTTAATAATAATTAAAAAAAAGAAGGGGGGGGGGATTCCTACTCCTCCTCTTCTGCAGCATACTTCAATTGACAACTTCAGGGTTGGGTCATTAAACTAAAAATTTTCGCATAAGTTGATGAATTTTTTTTTGTGCTTTAGGTAACAATTTGTTTTTTGTTTTATCTTCTTGTTTTAAATTCCAGTGTCCTTTGAGAAAAATAGATTTTCCAAACTCAATATCATCATTAATTGACATTTGCTCTTATAATTAATGTTTCTTAATTTTTACCAGTTTTATGCTTTTTAACAAATACAGAATTAGCTGTATTTGCGTCTTCTAATAATTTACTTTAAAGTATATTAGCAGGTTTAAGAAAAAATGTATTTAAACCCAAAATTTTATTGAAGCAACAGAAAAATTTTTGCTTTCTTTAAATACCAAACAGTTTTTGTTAAAATCATACCCAAAATTTTATTGAAGCAACAGAAAAAATTTTGCTTTCCTTAAATACCAAACAGTTTTTGTCAAAATCATACCCAAAATTTTAATGAAGCAACAGAAAAATTTTATGCTTTCTTTAAATACCAAACAGTTTTTGTTAAAATCATACCCAAAATTTTATTGAAGCAACGGAAAAAATTTTGCTTTCTTTAAATACCAAACAGTTTTTGTCAAAAAATCATACCCTTTTTTTATCCAAATTAGTTTTATTTGATACTTTTATTTACACTGAGAAAAATATGCTATTGAATTAACAGCATTTCTGCCGCAAAGGTATAAAAATTATTGATTCTGAAGCATATGCTATAAAATTTGTTAAATATTGTTAAATATTTGTATATATGCTTTTGAATCAATAATTTTTATACCTTTGACAGAAATGCTATTGATAATATAGCATATTTTTCTCAGTATAATTGCTGCTTTAAATAAATTACGTATTATATTCGATGCAATTACAAACGCCTTAATGAAAATCATATTGAGAAATTGTGTGTGAACGTCATTTTAGATATAGCATTTACAATAAAATAGAATTCAAAATTTTTTTATGAAACTTGATTAGAGCACAAAATATAGTGAAAATAACAAAGCAGATAAATCTTAAAGCATTACACAATATGTTTTTGAAATCCATGTGAATTCCAATAATATTGTGCAATAGTAAATTGCTGCGGTGTCATTCATATTTTCCGTATATATAAAAAAAAAATTCTTTCTAATCGCAACCAATCGTTTTATTATTTTAATACAAAAATAATCGAGAATACTATAACGTAATCAAAATAATAATTAACAAATTACTCTCTAAATCTGAATTAGTAAAAATGTTTACTAATTTTGAATTAGTGACTTACTTTTTGCTACTAAATTTTACTAATTATTAGTAATTTTTTACTAACAATTAGTAAAATTTTACTAATTCTAAAGCAAAAAGTGAGTCACTAATTTAAATTAGTAAACATTTTTACTAATTCAGATTTAGAGAGTAAAATTTTTAACATTAAATTAAAATTTTGAAAAATAATATCTACATTGTATCATTTATAATTTCAACTTTGACAAAAAGAAGAATAATGAAATAAAAACAAAAATTCCCGCCGGTTATCTCTCTCTCTCTCTCTCTCTTTCTCTCTGAACGTGGAAATTTCGTCCAGAGGGATTTCTTGCAGACACAAACACTGTGTAACGTTTTTGTATCAGCATATGGGATGACATATAGCTTGACATGAACTGACGCGCATTAATTTTTTTTTTTTTTCACTGATAGGTATTCTGCTTTCTTTATGTTTTCATTTCTTAAATATCAAGTATTAAATAAGAAAATAGATCCATATTTCCCTATTTTTAAATAAATAAAATTAAAATTCACTTTTAATTGGTAATTTAATTTGATTTATTTTTAAAAATTTTGTGTATGTTAATTTTTAATTGAAAATTAGTTCAACTTTTCTTTTTTTATATATACATATATAGCGTTTATTTTCCCTCGGAAGAACAGAGAAAACAAAAATTTTTGTTAAATTTTATTTTTTAAACATTTAGTTTGTTTTGGAGAAAGATAATTTAAACAGTTGAAAATGTCTAGTATATTATTTTATATATATATATAGAATTTAGCATTGAGGCGTAAAGAGCGGTCGAATCTCGGGCTTGCCATAAAGGCTCAAAATAGCAGGTGGATAAGAGGATTAAGGCAGGATTATAATAGCCTTTGAATTTTCATTCTTTTGTAGCATACTCCACAATGTTTAACGACAAGTAAACGATTTCCTTTGGTTATTAATATTATATATATATTGAAGTCGATATTAAATTAAATTTAAAAATAATTTCTAACAATTTTAATTTTCATTTATTAAAAAAAAAAAATGGATTTTTGAAAATTTACATATAGGTACTAAAAAGTTTTTCTTTTATTTTATCATTGATAGATGAAATATTAAAAAATACGTGTTAGAATGTAGATTACTTAAAAGGGTATTTAAACTTCAAATGTTTGATATAATACTTATATATATATATATATGAATCATTCATATTCGTAGAAAAAAAATTCTCTAATGGAATATTCGGCACACCTTCATATATAACGTAGGTCACAAGAGGTAATACGAATACCATAACAAACGGTATATAAGGTTTTAAATTACAGGAGAAAGGTTAAAATGATTTTTTTTCGCACGCTCAGCTTAAAGTCAACTTTTGAAACAAAGTGTTATTTTCTTCGACGTATTATAATACATTTTTCAAGAAATCTCTTTCTCTCTCTCTCTCTCAGGTCTTTGCCACCAGGTATATAAACGATATTTCATGACTTCCATATATACTATTTTTATACTCCCTCCCCTCTCTCTAAAAGCTATATTTATAAACTAAAATATTATTTTAAAGAAAGCAAAAAAAAAAAAAAATCTGACAAAGAAATTAAAAACAAATTGTCCGTTTTATGAAAAAAAAGAAAATATTTGTGACTTTCAAGTTTTTTCGTTTTAGACATTTCTCTAAATTTCAATTTTCATATATACATTTTGTACAAAAATTTGTGTACTCTCTAAATCTGAATTAGTAGTTTTTCTAATAATGAAAGAGTGCGGATTCGATTACCAATTGAATTAGTAACTCTTTTTTAGTAGAAAACTACTAATTGCTATAGTAGAAAACTACTAATTCATGGAGTAAATCGTATATATATATATATATATATATATATATATATATATATATATATATATACTGTAACTGCAATGGAACAATAATAATGATTATCCCAACACATGTACTCGTGTATTTATATTCAGCATTTCGTTGTTTGATCTAGCCTAACCCGAAAGTTCAAGCTGACATTGCATTTAACTATCGGCAATGCGATAATGTACATAGGACAATCTCAATGGTTATTATACTGTTTAGTGTTTACCATTTGGCTTTTATCTCGCGTCTATTTTCACCAAATTTCGCAGGTTAATTTCGTATTTTTTTTTTTTTTTTTTTGGAACTGTGTTGTACAGAGAAAAAAAAAATTAAAATCATTTTTTCTTCGAAATCTGAGGTTATTTTTTACAAAAAAAAAAACCTGTGCAAAAATTTTGAAAGGGCCCTGGGGGGGCCCACGCCACGAAGCTCCAAATTCGCATGAATTTCATTTGATAGAATTTCTATTTAGACGAATTTTCAATTTTCGAATTAGTATTTGAATAATTACTTTCTTTGTAAACGAAATTTTATTTAACATAGTTTTTAGGTACCGAATTTTAATTTAATATAAATTTTATTTTACCAAATTTTTTTGTTATCCAACTTTTTATTTTATAGAATTACAATTTAAACCAATTTCACAGGAAAAACAAAGTGTTAGTATCACAGAAAATTAAAAGGCATTAAAATAAGCTTATTATTTTAATCCAATTTTGCTTATTTTAATCCATTTTGGTATTAAAATAAGCAAAATTGCATTAAAATAATAAGCGTTGCAACTTATTTTAATGCCTTTTAATTTTCTGTGATTTTAACACCAGAATTGGTGTTAAAATAACACGCAACAAATTTTACCCTAAATCTGGGTTAAATCTTATGGGTTTTAACATTGGAGAAAATTACCCACAACAAAAATAACACCAGCTTTTTTCTTTGTTTAATTTATCAAAATTCTCATTCAGGAGAATTTTAGTGACTCGAATTGTATAAGGTCAGAATTTTTAAAACTATCGAATCTCCATGTGTCAGAATTTTTATTTACATGAATTTTTATTTGTTAAAACCACTAAAACAGAGAATTGATAGAAATTACATAAATGGCCGAACAAGCAAGCGTCAGAAAGTTTTCGGCGCCAATTTTAAAATAAATCGATCACAAATTTCTTATAATAATTTTTTGATTGGTCTATTTTAAAAACTGCGCCGAAATCATTCTGACATTTATTTGTTCGGCCATTTGTAATTTCTATAAAATGAAAATTCGCTGTTTTAGGAATTCTATATCAAAATAAAAATTTGTGTAAATAAACATTCTAACACATAGAGATTTGATAAATTAAAAATTCTAACTTTAAAAACAATTCGAATAACTAAAATTCTGTTAAATGAGAATCACAGAAAATTAAAAGGTATTAAAATAAGCTGCAAAGCTTCTTATTTTAATCCAATTTTGCTTATTTTAATACCAAAATGGATTAAAATAAGCAAAATTGGATTAAAATAAGAAGCGTTGCAGATTATTTTAATGCCTTTTAATTTTCTGTGATTCTGATAAATTAAAATATTGAGTGAAATTATAATATTTTTAAAAGGTGGATAAAAAGAAATTCATTAAAATAAAAATTATGTCAAATAAAAATACCTAAAAATTATGTTAAATAAAATTTCGTTTACAAAGAAAGTAATTCAAATATTAATTCGAAAAATGTAAATTCGTCTAAAAAGAA